ACTAAGTAACAATGACCTAAGAATGTACTGTGGTACACTTAATGTAAGTTCTTGGCTTAATTCCCACTTAAATCTTTAATAATACTGCCAGTGATATTATTTGTATTTGCCAGTTTTACAAGATTGTTGTTTCTTACAATTACCAAATATGTAACTGAGTTTCCAGTGAAAATAATGATGACTAGGAGACTTGCAGTGGTTGATGAAACATAGAGTTCTGTATACAGTCAATGATTGTATTAGCATAACTTTAGATACGGGAAGATGCAATACGAGAGAATATTTCCCTGGAAAGAAGACAGGTGTCCAGAGATCTCTAACAATTAAAGACCCAGTCCAGTAATAGCACATTGAGTGGCCTATCAGCAAAACCTTCTCCAGAACTAGGAATGAGCCATCCTAACAATGTGGGATGAAATGGTCATGAAATGCCCCCCCAGATTATGGTCAAATTTATGACTATGAGAGGGGCCTTATCAACTACAAATTGGTGCTTGCCAATGGCATTTTGCCATTTGTCTCTCTGGAGATTGAATCCTGTGCTGCTGCAACTATTGACCTGCAACATGTCTTGAAGGAAGTTCAGGGTGGAGAACGAGTGCACTTTGTGCTCCTGGTAAACTAGTGGAACAGGTCTTTAGATTGCTAATATATCCAGGAACTGATTTCATAACCACAATGTTTGTGTCTCCTCATATCTAGAAAAGCACTAAATCCCTGCATGGTGACATCAGCTTCTCACGATTAGCAGAAAACCTTTTGTAAAATAAGTGCCTGATTGCATGAACTTCTTCTTCACCAAAATCACATATATTGACATTCCCCAACTACCTCTTTGGGCCAGTTTCTCAGAGTTATCTGTATTGTCCCCTGGGCTCTGGTCGTCATTTTCCCCCAAATAAAACTCATGACTCTTACGTTGTGCATATTTTTTTAATCAGCAACTCCTTCTAGAGTATTTTTAATTTCATTAATTGTGTTGTTCATTGCTGTTTGCTTATGTTTTATTTCTTCTAGGTCCTTGTTAAATGAGTTAAAAATTTCTTGCATTTTCTCCATTTTATTTTTGATCTTTTGAAAATTCTTTATTATGTTGTTGTTCAGTCTCTCAGTAGAGTCTGACTCTTTGCGTTCCAATGGACTGCAGTGTGAGAGACTTCCCTGCCCTTCAATATCTCCCAGAGTTGCTCAAACTCATGTCTGTTGAGTCAGTGATGCCATCCAACCATCTCATCCTCTGTCACCCCCTTCTCTTCCTGCCTTCAATCTTTCCCAGCATCAGAGTCTTTTCCAGTGAGTCAGATTTTCCCATCAGGTGGCCAAAGTATTGGAGCTTCAGCTGCAGCATTAGTTCTTCCAATAAATATTCTGGTTTTATCTCATTGCAGTCCAAAAGGCTCTCAAGAGTCTTCTCCAGCATCACAGTTCTAAGGCATCAATTCTTCAGCACTCAGTATTTTTTTATGGTCCAGCTCTCACATCTATATATGACTACTGGAACCATAGTTTTGACAATATGGGCCTTTGTTAGCAAAGTAATGTCTCTGCTTTTTAATCACTGTCTGGGTTTGTCATAGCTTTTTTTCTGAGGAACAATCATCTTTTAATTTCATGGCTGCAGTCACCATCTGCCATGATTTTGGAGACCAAGAATATAAAGTCTGTCACTGTTTCCATTGTCTCCCCATCTATTTGCCATGAAATGATGGGACCAGATACTGTGATCTTAGTTTTCTGAATGTTGAGTTTTAAGACAGCTTTTTCATTTTCCTCTTTCAACTTCATCAAGAGGTTCTTTAATTCCTCTTCACTTTCTGCCATAAGGGTGGTGTTATCTGCATATCTGAGGTTATTGATATTTCTCCCAACAATCTTGATTCCAGCTTATGCTTCATCCAGCCAAGCATTTCTCATGATGCACTCTTCTTATAAGTAAATAAGCAGGGTGACAATATGCAGCTTTGATGTACCTCTTTCTCAATTTTGAACCAGTCTGTTGTTCTGTGTCCAGTTCTAACTGTTACTTCTTGACTTGCATACAGGTTTTTCAGGAAGCACGTAAGGTGGTCTGGCATTCTCATCTCTTTAGGAATTTTCCACAATTTGTTGTGAACTATATATGCATATAGATTATTTATTTTATAAATATATTTTATATCATGTATAATTATATGGTTTTTTATTACATATAAATACATATTTATGTTATTTATATGTTTAAGTATACATACACACATATATATCTGTGTGTGTATATATATATGTATATATGTATATACATATGGAGAGAGAGAGAGAGAGAGAGAGAGTTTGTTTTGGTTTGGTGTTTTTAATACCCCAAAGCAAAGATGTTTTTAAACTCTCTAAAAGAAGGAAGTAGATGGCTAAAAATAGCTCTCACTGACAAAAGGGCGGGAAGCAGAGCATTGACTAGATCAATTATCACTCATTGGAAGAAGTTAAGCAAAAAGTGACAAGTTTAAGGAATATGAAAAGTCTTTGTAATGCTGTAATGTGGAAGAAGAGAGACCATAGTTGGAGAGGCTAAATGTTCATTACCAGCTGTTGTTGTTCAGTCGCTCAGTCATGTTTGACTCTTTGTGACCCCATGGTATGCAGCAGCCAGGCTTCCCTGTCCTTCACCATCACCTGGAGCTTACTGAAACTCATGTCCATTGAGTCGGTGATGCCATCCAACCATCTCATACTCTGTCATCCCCTTCTCTTCCTACCTTCAATCTTTCCCAGCAGCAGGGTCTTTTCCAATGAGTCAACTCTCCCTATCAAGTGGCCAAAGTATTGGAGCTTCAGCTTCAGCGTCAGTCCTTCCAATGAATATTCAGAACTAATTTCCTTTAGGATTGACTGGTCTGATCTCCTTGCAGTCCAAGGGACTCTCAAGAGTCTTCTTCAACACCACAGTTCAAAAGCATCAATTCTTCAGTGCTCAGGTTTCTTAATGGTTCAACTCTCACATCCATACATGACTACTGGAAAAACCATAGCTTTGAATATATGGATCTTTATTTTATTACCAGTAGTCATGTACAAATGTGAGACTTGAACCATAAAGAAGGCTGGGCACTGAAGAATTGATGCTTTCAAATTGAGGGTGCTGGAGAAGACTCTTAAGAGTTCTTTGGACTATGTCGTGGCTGTTATAAACAGTGCTGCGATGAACACTGGGGCACACGTGTCTCTTACAAGGAGGTCAAACCAGTCAATGCTAAAGAAAATCAACCCTGTATATTCATTGGAAGGATTGATGCTGAATGAAACTCCAACAATTTGGCCACACTATGTGAAGAGCTGACTCATTGGAAAAGACATTGATGCTGGGGAAGATTGAGGGCAGGAGGAAAAGGAGGCAGCATAAGATGAGATGGTTAGATATCATCACCAACTCAATGACCAGAATTTGAGCAAACTTCTGGCGAGAGTAGAGGACAGAGGAACCTGGTGTGCTGCAGTTCATGGGGTTGCAAAGAGGTGGGACACAGCTTAGCAACTCAACAATAACAAATGTTTATTAACTTTAACTGGTGAGGACTGTGGAGTCTAGGGGATCCGACACATGATTCAGGGTTGTTTGGTGATAAGGCACAGATTCACCTTTGTTTTTATCTAATAGGGGTAAAACTGATTCAGGGACCCCTGAAGGCCAGAAACTGCCAGGAAGTTCAGGACTATACTATCAACATGAGTGGAGGGGGACTTCTGGGATAACAGTGAGTCAGTCACTGGGTAGAAAGATGGTTCAACTCCAAGAAATGTAAGAAGGGGGCTCACACAAAGGTGGTTGGTGATCCTCACTGAAGGAGGGGCCTCTGGTGGAGCTCTTGAATGGGGTAACTGGGATGGGACAATCTCAAGGTGACTGAAGTTAAAGAAGTTTGCTGCCCTATGACAAATTCAGCCCAGACCAAAGGTAGTATTCAGGTGTTTTTTTTTGTTTGTTTGTTTTTGTTTTTTTAAATAGGAACAGGGACGGAGTCCACCATGCTCAGAGAAAGGAAAGGCCTTCATCATCCACAAATCCCTGACCTCTCTGGGCACTCAGCCCAAGCCTTGGCTGGAAGACTCCTTTATTCTTCCTCCCAGAGCTCCCCTCCTGCACTCCTCTGTGCTGCTCGGGATCAGTCCCTTCATCACAACCCGCACCCTGCCCCACCAGCCCTGTGCTACTCCCCTCACACATGCTCCTGGCACTTCTCTCTGAGCCATCCCAGAACTGCTTAATCCACATCTTATTCCTACACCCAGCGTGCAAACCCTCTGCCCTCAGCTCAGTGGGGAGAGAGTCTTCACAACACTTTCTCCCCTTCTGCAATCCTTCGCGGCCCACAGTACCAGCAACCCCCACGCTGGGACTACCTGAAAGGGAAGCATCTCCTTCCTTCTCATTAATAATCTAATCGGGGCCCAAGAAAGGTACTCCATAAGGAAGATTCTGGGAAGAGTGCCCCGCATCTCGAGACTGGCCTTCCCCTTCTTCCAAATCCTCTTTGAACACTGGGTAGGACTCATGGCTAGGCCCTTCCGAGATGCTTGGGGTTAAACTTGCCAGGCGCTGCGGGATGTGGGGGTTAGGGGTACCCACACCTGCGCACTCTAAGGGGTTCTGACCGTGGCTGTGGAATACAGTATACGGTCGGGGCGACGGTCATGATTGGATGACTGTCAGTCTGGAGTGCACAAGAGGCTGGGCCTCAGGGATGCAAAATCACAGCCCTGCGGGGAGGCAGAGAAGCACCGAGGCTGATATCTGAATAAACACGAACAAAGCGAGACGGAGGCACTGCCAGAACAGCCCCACTCGGCCCGCGCGCGTCACCTCTCCGATTACTGCGTGGCGGCTGACAGGCTCCCGGCCCACCTCTGCCCCGCCCCGGCCTAGTTGCCCTCTCGCGGTTAACCCTTGCGGGCCCGTTTCCTAGAACGGCTGCCCAGCGCCTCCAGCGCGGAAGGAAGGACGCGGGCCCTCCGCCTTCCCCGCGTCCTGAGTGGGCGCCAGGCGTCGGGAACTGACCGTGGTGCTGAGCGCGCAGCTCGCTATCGGGCGCGGCTCCCAGACCTGCCAAGACCGCATACCGCGACACTCCCGGCCTCAGCGGTAAGTCGCCAAAGCCCCGAGGATGTAGGCGTGTGTGGAGTGGGGGAAGGGAGTGATTGGGAAATTTTTGTGAGATTTTCGTGCAATGGGCGGGCTGAGTGGAGGAACCAGTGTCTGCACTCTGTCCACTCCCTGGTGCCTAGCGAAGATGATATGATGTCCGGGAGCGATGGTCTGTCTGAGCTAGGGAAGGGGGAAACCTTCTCGAGGATGGGGTCTTGGGAAAGGACGAGTAAGACTGGAGGCCCATCTTCTCTCCACTGGGCAGGCCAGGAATATCCAGACACTCCCTTATAAAAAGTGGACCAGGACCTTCGGTCTCCAAAGGTCCCTTTGTCTCCCCAACATGAGGGTTGAGTGAATTGGTAATGTTTGAAACAGTGCAGATTCTGTTTCTGCTTTATCCCCAATCTCACACCCACCCCAGAACAGAGACTGTCCCTCCCCACAGTGACCTTCATTCCATCCACATGGAAGGTTTTGGCTTCGACAAGGTAGCCTATTACAGAGATAAACTACTGCTCCATACATACCTTCTCCACTCCAGTGTCCAAGATGTACCTGGGTGGGGCTCCCCTCAGAAGCCCCTACTCTTATCACCACTCACCCCTTTGTGTTTCATGTTTGTCATTTCCTGGATATTGGGGGGTGGGGCAGGGGAAATCAGGGTAAATACCAAAACTATTAGCCATTTTTTTTTGTATTTCTAAACTGTTTCTGTTGCATACGTGTAACTCTAATGTTTTTATTTTGCTCCATGAAATACCCAATCATTTTCATGTTCAAAAATGAAAGAAAAGCATAGAATTACCTTACCAAAAAGAAAAGAAAATTCCAGGCAGTTGAGCTAGTTAGTCATAATGTAGAAAAGCAGCAAATGAAATTACTTCATTTTCTCAATTTGCAACAAGTTCACATGCATGTGCATGCTCTGTGTAAGATGCTTCAAGGGGAAGCTTTCACATACGGGAAGTCTGCCACCACTTTCTTTCCACTGGACCCTCCTCTGGTTCCTAACTGACCTCTCTGCCCTTTTGCCTTTACTTTACATTCTTATTCACAACTAGAGTGATCTGTTAAAACTAAAAATTGGTCTTATTGGCTGCCAAATAATGGGAGAGTATCTATCAGGTTCTCCCCTAAGAGGGTGTTTAGCCACAGGATAACAAAGCAGAATGTTCATTTTTAAAAGTGAGAACCTGGACACATATGGCCTCTGCCCTCAGGAAATGAGAGTGCCAGCACCTGGGTGTCTAGATAAATCCTACTTTGCCCCTGAGAATTATCAAGAAAGATGACTGCTCAGCCTGACTCCAGTTGGGTAGTGGATCTTCTGACCATTTAGGGAGCTCCCACCCATGTCACATATGGACTGCAGATTTCCAAGGAGTCAGGATCTGGTAAAGTATCTTAACATGGAAACTGAATGGACTGAACACACACTGAACTTCAGTGAAATAATCTTTATCATGCCTGATTGAAGTTATTTTCCAGAGTACAGTAAGAAAAAGATTTTTATTATAATATCACCAAAATTTCTTGCCATAGAAATTATACTACCTTCAGTTACAATTTTTCTAAGTTTGTGTGAGCCATACTTTTGCTTTTAGTCTCCATTTTCATTTTACTTTTCAAATTTTATTACAAAACATATTTATTATTCAATTTTTAGATTTCCCATGAAGGGGAAATTGAGTTGTTGGTTCAAAGAATTTCTGTCACAGTTAAGAACACAGGTTTAGTATCAGACAGTCTTGGGTTCAGATCCTAGCTCTGTTGCCACCTGTGTGAGGGCCAATCCATTGACTTTTCTGGACGTTAAATTCTCCTTTGTTAAATGGGGTTACAGCAGTATGTCCCTTATAAGCTTATGGGACAAGCATTCTTCCTGGTTACCACTATGCTGTGTGCCCCAAAACCCATCAGGGCTGGGCTACAAAGGATTGGGAGAAGTAAGAATGGGGTCTGCAGGTACAGGTTGGGAAAGGCTTGGGCACATGCTACATGCTACCCAATAGGAGGCAGAAAGGCAGCTGACCCACTGTCCAGGGTGCTGCTACCAAGAACTGGGCTATAGCCAGAGCAAAGCCTGGGTTCTTCTACTTTCCCTTGCATGGTGCCTGCTCCTTCTGCTCTCCTCTGGTCAAAGCCTCAGGTGTTCCTCTACTGGGGAGGAAGCATTGCTAAGGGGTGGGAATGGGATGGAGGTAGTGACATTTGCCCCTGTGAGCCTCTGCAGTGCCACCTTTGCCATCTCTTCTCATCCTCTTTGGTTTTAATGTTGCTAGTTGGGCTGAGAGGCAGCCCATCCACCCACCTCCCAGACCTCATGTCAAAGCATTTCTGAGACTCTCTGGAGGGGGCTGGTAAGCCTCTTTGGCAGTGGGTGTGAAAGGCATGCATACTGACAGTCATTTGCTTGCACACCTGCTCTAGCCCTTCCTTACAAGTTGTGGACTAAGGGAGAGTGAATCTAGGTGTTCCCTATGGAGAACCAAATAAATCAACCCAAACTCTATAATCTCTCCCTGGTAAAACTGCCAGAAGACCAGCTGGCAGTCCCTCACTGCCAAGGACATGTGGAGACAGTGAGACAGATGGAGCCTGAGAGCTGGATACCTGTGAGGTCCAGCAAGCCAGGATGGAGGGACTGGTTCTAAGGGAGTGCTCTTAAACCCTGCCTTATTTTAGTGTGTTGTTTTTTTTAAGAGTTACATTTTATTCAGTGGGAATTTTTAGGACTTCAAGCCCAGGAGGCAGCATCTCAAGTAACCATTAGAGAACTGCTCCAAGGAATCGAGGTTATATAGAGGTTTTGCTGGTTATATAGGTTAATATATATATAAACAGGTTATATATATAAACAGGTTATATAGAAGATTTGCAACATGGGGCAGGTGGTATTAATGTCAAATGATTATTGTTAATTAAAGAAAACCAGATATCCCAAGTTAAGGAGTTTAGTGCTTTTCTATATATGGGAAGATGCAAGAGTCTGGGCTCAATGAAATCATTCCTTTGATATGCACCTCAACTATCTGGGGCCTGTATCCTGTGTTTTCACATCCTGACTGATGACTGTGACATCCTTTGATTGCTGACACAGCACTGCCTTCTTTTCATGCGTTCTCATGGGTTTCCAAACTCACACAAAGGTAATACATTTAAGCTAGACCACTGCTTCTCACCCTCAAACCATCTCTTAGCACAGGTCACTTCCTTCCCTTCATTCACCTCTCATCCTCTCCACTTCAGCTTTCCCTCTTTTATGATCCCCCTAACGGCATGTATCCAGGCCTCAGGCTTCTAGACTGTCTTTCTTTATTCAGTTGCTGAATCCTGGTGTTTTCTTCCTTTGAAAGATCTTATGGCTTTACTCTCTTTATCATGCTTATAGCTGCAGCCTCCATCTAGACCTTATCTCCTTACACCCAACCCATTTTAGGTGCCTCTTTTGAGTCCCCTCTGTTCAGAGCCTCTCACATAGTTTAGTCCATCCTCCACTCAGACATCAGAAAAATGGTCTCAGTCTACCAGATTCTTTATGCCATTGCTTCCACCTGCTCCCTCAGAAGACTTCTATAGCTCTTCATTGACTCAGGGTAAGGCCAGACTCCCCAGCTGTGCCAACAACGACCAACTTCTTAACACTCTTACCAGCTTCCCACTCTCAGGTCCGGGAAGACATCAATAAGCAATTCCAGCATTCTTTCCCATTGAGCTCAGGCTGGGCATCAGAAACTTTCTCTGGGTGGCACTCCAGGTAGCAAGGTCTGTCAGTTAGGATACGCACGGAGGACAACACCTGCCTGCTGCCCCAGCTCATGAGGCACTTTGATGGCCAGCCTGTGTATTCCTGGTCTCATGCTTGTCTCCTCTCTGCGTTCTGCCACATTGCTGTCTCTCTTCTTCTGCCTAAGCTCTGTGTGCACCATGGAATGCTTGGTTGTGCCTTGCCTGCCTGCTGGGTACATCAGTCCTGAAGGGCACACATGTGTCGTCCCCTTCCACTGATGACCTACGGCACCCAGCCCTGGAAGCAGATTTCCTTTCAGCTTTGTTGCTTACATGAAGGAAGCAACTTACTTATGGACTTCTCTGCTTCATCCTCTCAGAAGGGCCATGATACTCCCCCTAAGGATATGGTGCTATTGGTAGAGTGTAGGGCCTGGATATGAGAGGCTAACTTGCCCAGACAAGCTTTGAAAGGATTCTTGAGTGAGTCACAAGATCACAGTTACAGGAACACTAGACCCTGTCTGCTCTCATTTTGGCTCCAACTCTGTGCCTTTAAGCATGTGACTTAACTTCTCTGAGTATCAGTTGTCTACAAAGGCTGGAGCAGTAAGTGTGGGGGTGGGACAGTTCCTATCTCCCCCTCTTCTTGCCTCCACAGAGGATCCAAGCTCAGATGTCAGAGCTCAGCTCCCATGCCTGTGTGAGTGGGGCAGGGGGTAGGGTATGGGGACAGGCTTTCTAGAATCACAAGCCTCCATCCTAGATATTGAGTGTCTCCTGCTTTCCCCATAGCAGCGGGGACACTGCAGCATGGAGCTGAAGAGAGGAAAGACCTTCATCAAATCTAGCCTGCAGATTGACCACGAGAAACCTCCAGACCCAGCAGCGACTGCCCTGACCACAGAGGATGCAATCTCACTGGGAGGGCAGCAGCTGCCCCACAGTGAGAGGGGCCCCCAGGTCAGTCCCAGCACCCAAGGATACAACAGATGCTCCGATCGGGAAGCCCAGCCAGACACCAGTGGAGGGCCTGCAGCTCTCTGTGGGGCCACCTTCAAACTGGCTCGGAAAAGCAAGAATCACGACAGTGTGCCCAGGGCTGACAGGGCAGCCACAGCTACAGGGCAGTTGGTGGGCAGTGCAAGTTTCCCAGGGCCCCCCAGCAGCCAACGCATGATTGACTACCGCCACTTTGTGCCCCAGATGCCCTTCGTACCAGCTGTGGCCAAGAGCATGCCAAGGAAGAGGATTTCCCTGAAACGACCCAAGAAGTGCTTTCGTAACCTATTCCACATCCGCAGAAACAAGACTGAGAATTTGCCCTCACAGGCAACTGAGGGGCAGGGCTTGTCTTCTCCCAAGGGCCCATCAGAGACTGGAGGGCAGCGAGGCATAGCCTTCCTCCCCTTGGGCGAGGAACTGGGACTGGATGGCCAGTGCCAGGACCTGTCTGACAGTGAGTTCCTGCCCGACTCTTCCTTTGACCTCTGCAGGGCACTGTGTGAGGACGTGGCCTCACTGAAGAGCTTCGACTCACTCACAGGCTGTGGGGAGATCTTTGCAGATGAAAGCTCAGTGCCATCCCTGGAGCTGAACGAGGGCCTGGCAAGCCCTGCCCAGAGATCACAGGCCTCTGACAGCAAGACTCCCGGGGGCCCCTTCCAAGGCAGCATAGAGCAGCTGGCATCGCCTGCCCAGAATGAGATGTCTGACTTTGCCAAGTTCTGGGACCGTGTGAATCACTCGGTGAGTCAGCAGCAGCACGCCCTGCTAGGCCCGAGGCTGGGAGGCCCCCAGGCGTCAGACACAGCTCAGCCCAGGCCAGATGCAGCTGGGCTGGCTGAGCTCCCCCTGTGCCCATGCAGAGATCCCCACAGCAGCTCCAAAGCCAGCTCCGTAGACACAGGAACCCCCAAGAGTGAGCGGCCGGAGTCTGTGTCCACGAGCGACGAGGGCTACTATGACTCCTTCTCACCAGGCCTCGAGGAGGATAAGAAGGAGGCCCCGAGCCCAGGCACACCCACAGCCACCTTCCCCAGGGACAGCTACAGTGGAGACGCCCTCTATGAGCTCTTCTATGACCCCGCTGAGGGCCCTGGGAGTCCGAGCCTGGATGATGACTTGTGCGTGTCTGAGAGTCTATCGGGGCCTGCAATGGGAGCCCCCTTGTCCATGTGCAGCTTCCGTGTTGGGGCAGAGGAGAACCTGGCTCCAATTCCAGGCCCAGACCTGCTCAACCAGGGCTTCTTGCAGAGCTCTTGGAGGGGCAGAGAGTGCCTGCTGAAGCTCTGTGACACCGAGTTGGCCATCACCATGGGCATCATCAACTGGCTCCGCCGGGGCCCGGAGCTCCGCGCCTTGCCTGCCTCAGCTCTCAGAGAGCCGACAGCTCCCCCGGGAGGGCTGCTGGAGAAATCAGGAGCTGGCTCTGAGAAGATGGGCCTAGGTCCAGTGAAACTGGAGGGCAGGGGGACCCAGGCTTTAGATGCAGGTAGGACCTGTATGAGCTCTGCACCCAACAGGAAGGAGCTGTGGGCATGTTCAGGTCCCAAGGGCCTGCTTGCTGGAGTGAGCAAGGTCCTAGCCGGGGCCACACAGGAGACCAGGTCTTCATCCTGTGACCCCTCTCTGGAGTGTGTGCAGGTCTCTGGGGAACAAGGCACACCAGGCCACCCTGAAGGCTCTTTTTCCTCTGTAGGGTCTGAAGCTGCCGTGGCAACCAACACATCCAGGAGAAACAAGGTCCCAAACCCATCTGTCTGGCCTGGCTCCCAGGAGCCCAGGCTGCCTAGGAACCTCGGGTGTTTCCAAGGTCCCTGGAGGCCAGGTCCTAGGGGAAGCACCATGGATTCAAAACTCACCCTGACAGACTGTGTGGCCCAGGTGGAAGCCCTACAGATCAACCCAGACTGCCAGTCCCCTGGGGTTCAGCCCCCAAGACAAAACACAGGTAGTGGGCTCTGCGGGAAGCCTCAGGCTGGGGGCCCTGACATTCTGCAACAGAAACAGCCTAATGGCTTCCCTAATCTGGCTGCCATCTGCAGTCTGCCCTCCCTGGCCAACCCACTCCACCTCCCACAGGACCAGAGATGCCCAGGCAGCATTCTGGACCTGAGTCAGCTCAGGGAGGAGCCCGCCACGCTGAATGTCCAGGCCCATGTCTCTGTGGAGGGCCGGCCCCTGCAGTTCAACTCAAGGGCTATGGAGCAGGCTGCACAGAGGGGCCGGCTGGACTTGTAGCATGCCTCTGCCTGGGATCACATGCCAGGAATCTGGGCCTCACTTCCAACACCTAGGGAGAGGGGCCTCCCCTCTGCAAGTGCCCAGAAACCCACTGCATCTTTTTGGATCACAAGGGATCCTCTTCAACCAGCAGGAAGGAGGGGCTACCAGGACAGCAGGACTGAGCCCCAGCTTTGGAACAGTTTTGCATCCTTGGGACCACATTCAGGAGAGTCTAAGACCTAAATCTCCATCCTTTGTTCCTGATGTGAGGACTGGAGGACTGTACTGGGGGGAAGGGAGTGTCAGTATTCAGTCAGGCAGAGTGGGGCATTTTAACGTGGAGGCATCCATGCCTAAACTCAACAGCTCTGCCAGGAGAGGTCCCGGGAAGCCCAAGGCCAAGGCCAACTGCAAAGCTGCCAGTGCTCTCAAGATGTTCCTCACACACACACACACAAATGAACAGTCTAAACCCAGGTGGCTAAACATACCCTTGGCCACTTACCATACAGTATGTTGGAGAGAGGAACTCGGGCTTGAAACTTTTGGGGATGGAAACAGTACATATTGTAAAGGGCGCATATTGTGCGGATAAGTCTGAACAAGAATTGAGAGTAATAAATGTGAGTGAGGAATCTGAGACTTGGGTACAAGCTTGAGACTGGGGGTTAGCTCAGAAGTGTCTACTTGCCCCATCTCCAGAATGAGCAGCCATAACCTGTGACTGAAGGGCTGAAGGGCCCTGAAAGGCTGCTCTAAGGGAATCAGAAGCGGGACCAGCCGTCTTAGCAAGAGCCTTGAACCAGCAGATACCATGCATTCCTGTGCAACCTTGCCAGGGCTGGCCAGACTCTGGAGACCCTGAACAACGGGTGTTCCCTGTCACAGAACATCCCATACAAACAATGCTTTCCCCCAATTTGCACTGTCTAACTGATCTGTGGGCGGCAAGATGCTCTTGGGGATGAAGCTGTCTGATTCTCCACACTGCCATTTTCACTCTCCATGCTGCCAGCATCCTAGCCTCCTCTTGCAGGAAGGCTCAATTTTGAATGAAGCTGTATCCCCCAACCCCTCAAAAAAAAAAAAGTCACAACATTTGCACAGCACCAAACATTCAGAATCCCAAAAGGAAAGGTGGCTTGTATATCAGGAAGGGCAGGTGTCGGTCTGGCCAGCCTCAGGGCAGCAGACCAACAGCAAGCTCCTTGACAGGGTCCTCTCTGATTAGATCCTGCCTCAGGTGCCATGTTTCATTGAGGTGCCAGGCCGGGAGAGGGGGCAGTATGCTACAGGCAGCTATGAAACTGTTTCTTGAAGAGATGCCATGGGCCCAGTGATGAGGGAGGAATTCCAGACAGAGGGACGCAGTCTGACCACAGGCTGGGGCCAGTCTCGATTGTCCAAGGCTTTGTTTTCAGGCTGGAACATGCTTCACAGCTCTCATTAACTGTTACCTGTGGCCTGCTATGGGAGGATGAGGACAGCAAATGGGAGGCTCAAAGGGGCATGACAAGGCTCCTGAACAGGCCCACTGAGACAGGACACATGGAAGGCTAGGGCCAGACTTCCTGGGAAGCCACACTTGACCCTTCCTCCTAGGACGGTCACAGTGACAGTTTTGGGGCCTTGACATGAGCAGCTGATGCATGTCAGCTGCTTTCCTGGCTTCTGACATGGAAACAAAGGCCATGGTGTGGATGTGACTTGCCCACATCATACTCAGTCAGCATGTGGGGCCTAGCTCTTGGCCGACCCCACTGTGAACACCCCTCTCAAGGCCCCCACTCCTTCCTTCTTTCAGGATACAGGCGTCTGGGGCCTCTGGGTGCCAGGAGTGCACCTCCCTGTTACTCCGTACTGCACCTAGTAGAGCGAGTGCCCAGTGAATACTGTTGCAAGAATGAAATATCAAAAAGTTGTGCATGGTTTTCTGATTTCTTGCTGCCTGTGGGCCTGGGGTCTAGAGAGCAACAGAGTTGGATTTAACTTAGTTGAACTTCTGACAAAGACTTCCTTGATATGACACAGTGATTCATAGAGATGTGGAAGAACCAGCCCAGCCAAGAAGTACTGGGAAGGGTATGAACCAAGGTGGTCCCAGGACTCAGAGGCCATGGCAAAGAGTGACCCAACATGCAAGGAAGCAGATATAAAGACCTGTGCCGTGCCTACCTGCCCAGTGGCCCTCAATCTGTGGAGGATCTTAAGCAATGCTGGCACCGCAGAGATTATCATTCAGCAATCTGAGTAGCTGACCCAGCAGTGGTCTGCGAGACATCTTGCTGGGAGAGTGAAGGAGCCATGTGATCTTTTTGTGTTCTGTGAGTCAAGGTTCCCTCAGCCCATCTCTCTCTCTGTAACCCACTCTTCAGGCTGCCCTTCCCAGCAAGAGGAATCCAGGAATTGCCAGCCTGATTGGGCTCCGCAGGCCTCAGGCGTGTCCTTGAGGTGACCCACTGCTAGGAAGAGAGGGACTTTCGGAGTCAGCTCCTGGGACAGGTGTCTAACCCAGGGATGAGTGTGGAAGAGCTCTGCACGGGGCATTTTCAGAACTGGTCAATTTCCAGTCCTTCTGTTCACACAGGGCTGTAGAAGTTATAGAAAGTTTTTCCCAGGTAAAGTCAAGTCCTGAGGAGAAAGTCCAGCTGTCCCCAGCTCTCAGCTGTCCCAGGGTCACATGGTGGTGGGGCCGCTGGGCTTCACCCTGGTGCCTGTGCACTGTGGTTCTGCCCTTCCAACCTGCTGAGGTTGAGTTCGGAAATGGGAGGTGTGGAAGGGGTCCAGGCAGCCTTGCAGCTGAGCCTGACAATAGGGTGGCTGGATGGACCATGAGAGTGGGGAAGTGAGAAGAAGGTGCTGGAAAGGAAAGGGAGGTGAAGTCCAGCACAGGTTGGGGAAGACCCTGCAAACTACATTGGGGTACTTCCTATGTTTCCTGGCTCTTCATTTTATTTATTTCTTTACTTGCTTATTTATTTTTATGACGTGAGGACTAATACACCGAATACAGAACAGTGAAAACTAAGTTTCCTCTAATTCCTCTCTTATCCCTGTTGTTTTGATTCAAAATCAATTTCTATTCACTACAAGCAATCCAAACAATGCCAAGTGCAGAGCCTCAGCTTCCCTGTCCTTGAAATTGCATGTGTCCTCAGACCCTTTCTGTGCCCATGACATAAATACACATGACTTGCACCTTTTTTTTTTTTTTAACTGAACACTGTATCATAGACATCTTCCTTGGGCTTAGCAGGCATCAGCAGATGCAAGTTCTCCACTCTCTTGAACAGCTTGCACAGCAGTCTCCTGTAGGTGGCAAGTAATTTAGACACTCTGCTGTTGATGGATATTCAAGTTAATTTCCCATTTTAGCTGTTACAAACAATACTGCACTTCTTTTTTGCCTAAATGTTCTCTCTGAAAGTCCTCTTCAAAACTATGAAAGTGAAACTTAACAAGGAAAAGATGCATTTTTTAAAATGACCAGTGAATCCTGTTTCCATATCCCCACCCTAGTGCCGAAGTATCTTAAGGTCGTGGTGTTGTTAATGGCCTGAGCTTCATGCTCATACAAACACACTACATGCTTTCATCTTTGGAAGGGGAGAGGTTGGTTCTTTTGTTATTATGTGTAAGGCCTTGGAATTTGTCATTCTCCTCCTTACAAGAAAAAGGTGGACAAACTGAAAATCCATGATTTTCCTGACCTGTCAGAGAATGAGTCACAGAGCAAATAATTTCTCTGAAGCCTGGAGACACAGGTGCATCCAGAGAATGAGGCAACTGAGACCTGGAGCAGAAGCTTCAAGATTATGAAGAACTGGTAGGAGCATTTAGGGAGTAATTTTGACAAATTGCTATGGCTGAGTAGGAAGGTATAAGGGGCTTGGCAGTAAATAGGGTGCCCATACATACATGGCTTTCTTCCAGAAACCATTCTATATTTTCAGGGTGAGGACAAACGTCCCCTCATGGGCCTGGCAAAGAGAGAATAGCCTTTGTGAAACCCTCCATATCCTTCTCCCTAATAGGACTATGTAAAGGGGAGAGACTTCCTAGGGGGGATATTTTGAAGCCTTTTCCAAGCTGAAAGAAGGGAATTCTACCCAATCCCAGATGTTTCCAGCCTTTCTGTCTCACTTAAGAAAAGCATAGACAGATAAAAGACAGAAAGAAAGGGATAGTTAACCAGAAGAGGATTCCAAAATAAAAACTGGAAACTCACCTTTCTGGTGAGCCAGAAGGAACTAGGGTTTCATAAGGCTATACCCCACCCCGGCATCACAGGTCTACAAAAGATTGAGACTGATTACGAGCTTAGAAGATAAGGGCACATTCTCCTGCTTCCAACTAAACCTGTCTCCACACTAAAAAGCCTTCAGTAATAAGGACTGCGGATTAAAACTTAAAGAGCTATAAGACAAAGACTCTCACTAAAGATCAGAGCAAAGGGAAGCCACAGAGAAATGAAGGGAAGGAAAAATGAGCCCATTACAGTAATACAAAGCCTCTGGTGCTTATATAAGAAATAAGAAAATAGTCTACCTCTTAGCCAGATTAACATAAACCCTCACACCAAAAACCTGTTTACTTCAGTACCTGTTACCCTATACAATCTCTGACTTTCAGCAGAAAACTATTTGCTAAAGGCAAAAGGAAAGAATGTCTGAGGAACAAAGATATTGCCAGAACTAGTCACAGGTGTTGGAATTACCACATTAAAGATTATAAAATGAGTGATTAATATGCTAAGAGTCCTAATGAAAAAAGTAGACAAAATGAAAGAACAGGTGGTAATACAGCTGACAGGAAAAATTCCAAGAAAGAAATCAAAAGAAAACGTTAGACATCAAAAACACTGTACATTAAATGAAAAATCCCATAAATGAGCTCATCAGTAGACTCACCAGAGGTTAGTAAAGAATCTGAGTTTCTGATCTTCCCTGGGGGTCCAGCAGTTAAGAATCCACCTGCTGATGCAGGGGACATGGGTTCACGCCCTGGTCCAGGAAGATTCCACATGCCATGGAGAAAGGAAGCACATGCTTCACAACTGTTGAGCCCACGCACTGCTAAAACTACTGAAGTCCATGTGCCCACAGTCCATGCACCACAAGAGAAGCCCACGCATCACAAGGAAGAGTATCACCCCCTCACTGCAACTGGAGGAAGCCTGAACACAGCAATGAAGAGGCGGTGCAGCCAAAAATACATCAAAATGAACACATTTTAAAATTTAAAAACAACAATAAGAAGAAGAATCTGTGAGTTTTATTAGAAAATACCTGAGACAAACAAAAATGAGACACAATATACCAAAACTTAAGGGATACAGAGAAAGCAGTAAGAAGAAAATTTATTGCTGCAATGCATATGCTAATAAAGAAGAAAGATCTCAATTAATAACCTAACTTTATATTCATAATTTAAGAAACTAGAAAAAGAAGAAAAAACTAACCCAGACCTAGCAGAAAGAAAGAAATAATTGACCTTAGAATGGAGATAAATACAATGCAGAAGAGAAAAACACAGGAAAAAAGTCATCAAAATCAAAGTTGGTTCTTTGAAAACATCAACTAAATAAACAAACCTTTAGTTTAGACTGAGACCAAATGAGAGAGAAGACTTAAAAGTATTAAAATCATAAATACATAAATGGAGATATTACCAATTTTATAAAAATAAATAAGATAATAAGAGAATGCTACGAAAATTTGTATCAACAAATTACATAATCTAGATGAAATGGACAAATTGCTAGAAATATGTATCTATCAGAAATGAACCATGAAAAAATTAAAAATCTGAATAGAATAGATCTATAACTAGCAAAGAGACTGAGTCAGTAATTTTTAAAGACCTCTCAATAACGAAAGGCTCAGGACAAGATGACTTAACTGGTGAATTCCATCAAACGTTCAAGGAAGATCTAACATCAATCACTCTGAAACTCTTCCAAACCTTTGAAGAGATGGGAACAGTTTGTAACTCATTCCATGAGGCCAACACTGCCCTGATACCAAAGCCAGACAAAGACACTACAAGAAAACTACATATCAACATTTCTTATGAATATATGATACAAAAATTCTCAAGATTAGTGGCAAACTGAATTCAACAGCACAGTAAAAGGATTAAACACACCAAGACCAAATGAGTTTTGTTCCTGATGTGCAAGGATGGTTCAATATATGATAAACAAAATATGTAATCAGTCAGTCAGTCAGTTCAGTCACTCAGTCATGTCCGACTCTTTGCGACCCCATGAATCACAGCACACCAGGCCTCCCTGTCCATCACCAAATCCCGGAGTTCACTCAAACTCATGCCCATCGAGTTGGTGATGCCATCCAGCCAGCTCATCCTCTGTCGTCCCCTTCTCCTCCTGCCCCCAATCCCTCCCACCATCAGGGTCTTTTCCAATGAGTCAGCTCTTCGCATGAGGTGGCCAAAGTATTGGAGTTTCAGCTTCAGCATCAGTCCTTCCAATGAACACCCAGGACTGATCTCCTTTAGGATGGACTGGTTGGATCTCCTTGCAGTCCAAGGGACTCCCAAGACTCTTCTCCAACACCACAGTTCAAAAGCATCAATT